TTAAATTAAAATAATTTTAAATTAAATATTAATAAATTATTAAGTTATAAATTTGATATTATGAATAGTAAAAATGTTTAAAAACGTTCAGAAAAATGGAATATGTTCAGAAAAACATAATTATGTCTGAAAAATGTCTGGAAAACAGGTTTATGTCTGGAAATTATCCAAAAAATATTCAGAAAATATCCAATATTGCATTCTAACATTGAAATTCCAAACAATGACATTTTCAAACAAAATTAATGTCTGAAAATCATTAAGATTTAGAACATATTCTGGACAATGAAAATGTTCAGAATTTGTATATTATTATTTCAGTATATTTTCCTGTTAAATTCTGAACATTCTTTTTTTATAGGGTAACTATTTGTTCTTAAGCTCTCTTCCTATCTCACTGATAACAAGATTTGGTAATTTTCATTAAAATATCATTAATACCTAGGATAAGTGGCTGGGATGAAAATATAAAAATAAAAAAATGAATAATTTGTGTCATCATCATCAAAAATCAAGCAGAACTGATTTGTATTCCTATTCACTACAATTCCCAGCGCAGAGCATTTGGGATTTTAGAAACAGGGAAGAACTATTCATGGCTGAAACTGTGATCACGAAGAGCTTTTATTTCCCAGAAATTTTAAACCTAGTAGCAGCATAACTTTAGATATACAATGACTTGATAAATTCTCAGTGAAATACTCACTGTTCTCAACATTCTCCAAAATAGTAACTATTTGTTCTTCGAGCTCACTTCCTATCTTACTGATGACGAGATTTGGTAATTTTCATTAAAAATATTGATCACCTCATTAATACCTGGGGTAAGTGGCTAGGATAAAAATATAAAAATAAAAAAAATGAGTAATTTGCGTCATCATTATCAAAAATCAAGTAGAAGTGATTTGTATTCCTATTCACTACAATCCATAGGTCTGTACCAATTGCGGGATTTCAGAAACAGGAAAGAACAGTTCACGACTGAAACTATGATCACGAAGGGCTTTTATTTCTTAGACATTTTAAACCTAATAGCAGCGTAATTTTGGATATATAATAGCTCAACAAAATTTCAGTGAAATACTCACCGTTTTCAACATTCTCTAAAATAGTAACCATTAGTTCCTCAAGTCTCTTTCTATCTTACTGATGACGAGATTTGGTAACTTTCATTAAAATATCGATTACTTGGGGAGTGACTGGAATGAAAATAAAAAAAAATAAGTAATTTGCGTCATCATCATCAAAAATCAAGTAGAACTGATTTGTATTCCTATTCACTACAATTCCCAGAGCTGTACCGATTGCAGAATTTCAGAAACAGAAAAGAACCATTCACAGCTAAAACTGTGGCCACGAAGAGCTTTCATTTTTCAGACTTTTTAAACCTAGTAACAGCGTAACTTCGAATATACAATGACTTGACAAAATAACTCAATAAGGTACTCACCATATCCATTGGCACTCAACTTTCAAACTTTACAAAATAGCAACAATTAGTTCTTTAACTCTCTTCCTATCTTAGCTGATAACATGAGTTTGGGTTAAAAAAGAAGATAAAAATTTATTTTCAAACACTTCGTTCATAACTTTGGAGAAAAGGAACACAATTGAAAATTTTTTTTCATTATTTAAATTTTTTTTTTAAGTGTTTACATCCCATACATTTCCAAAATAAAATATATGACCACAAGGAAATCTATTGAATTTAGTTATTGTAAACAGGCAAGAAAAAAATTTTTCGACATTTCATAACATAGCAAAAATCACTATCCAAGTTACACGAACATCATTTGGTTAAAAAATCATACCATAGTGCCAAAACTAATAGGTAATATTTATTAGTTATTGACTCAATTCGTAAGGAAAAAATTTTATTTTAAAATTTTTTCTATTCCTATAACGCAGCAGTAAATTGAAAGCTTAAGCAGAAATATAACGTTATTGCATCAATCAAATTTTTTTTTTTATAATTCCTTTTTACTTTATAGGTTCGTTGTTTTTTTTTTTCTTGATCATTCTGTTCTTAAATCAAATTTATAATTAACTCAAATAAATGTAAATCACGAATGTTAATTAATTAAAACTATGTGCGTAAATAATAATCGTAAAAATAAATTAAATGAAAATATTAAAACAACGAAATTACCACATTACTAACGAAAGTGACAATTATCGCAAGTAAAAAAAGGGAAGAAATTGAAGGTATATGTATTAATAAAGGAAGGCGAACTGGTTTGGTTCTTTTCTGAACTATTTGAACAGTGCAGTGTAGTAGCAGTAGAGGTGGATATGCTCAGGCATCCCTAGTTGTAATTTAATTAGACTTCTAAAAAGGTGCAGTAAATTCTTATTGTATCTATTTCGATCCTTTAACCCAATGAATATCCAATTCCAATTATTCTTATATTATACTTACATGCAGTGCAATATATAGGTAGAACTGATTTAAATTATAATTTATCATAAAGAAAAAATTTTCAACTTCTTCCATCCGAAATTACATACAATTATTTTTATAATTCTCACGATATCATTTTATTCTAATTTTTAATAAAATTGACTAATTCATATAAATATTGTTGTAAGGTGGAATTTATTTCAAAAAAAATTTAAGAATTTACATTTTGAATGCAGTACCTTTATTTGGTAAGATAAGAATTTATTTCTGAGCAAATTAGACCAATTATGGAAAAAATTACAGTTGGAAAAAATTTAAACCGAGGGCTGAGTTTCTAATAGATAAATTCTATGCAAAAAAAAAGGCTTGCCTGAACACAAAAAAAATTAAAAATTAAAAAAAATGGTTTTAAAGAACAATTTAAAAAAAAATCTGAAAGACTTGGAACTGAAAATCAAAAAATTAAAGCAAAGTTACAAAAGGTTTCGCATACAAATCAAATATTTAGAAGAAAAAGTTAGAGAACGAGAAGAAGAAGCGAAAGCTGAGCAAGAAATTATAGAAGAAAAGGTTAGAGAACGAGAGAATGTGTCTAGAAAAAAGCAAGAAATTATTAATGAATTAGAAAAGAGAATCAAAAGTCTTGAATCAATTATTTATGATGATACAATTGATAGTTTAACCATTACTTATACTAATAAGAACATGTTGAAAACCTTAGGTGGATTGCAAAAATATCGAAAATTAACAAAACTCAATTGTAGAAATTCTCAAATAATAAGTTTACCAACATTACTAAACTCCTTAATGATGCTCAATTGCTCTATAACTCAAATAACAAGTTTACCAACATTACCAAACCCCTTAACGATGCTTGACTGTTCTGATACTGAAATAACAAGCTTACCTACTGTACATTACCTAACTCTTTAACGAAACTGTATTGCTATAGTACTCAAATAACAAGTTTACCAACATTATCTGACTCTTTATCAATGCTCTGATCTTCTGAAATGCAAATAGCAAGCTTACCAGAATTACCTTACTCCTTAATTTATCTCCGTTCTTTTGACTAAAATCTGTTGCTATGTAGCTGAAATAACAAGCTTACCAACATTACCTAACTCCTTAACTAAACTATATTGCTATGAAAATTAAATGACAAGCTTACAAACATTACCTAACTCCTTAACGGTTACTGAATAAACCCGATTCCTTAAAGAATATCTATCCTGAATATTTAAAAATCAATAATCAGACAACTATTCTGCCAACTTCTAACACTTGATAAAATTTAACTGAAAATTACTTAAAATAAATGATCAATTTAACTTTATTGTTCTAGCATTTATTTATTAATTATATAAGCAATTCTTTTATAAATAAATTGTTTTTTTTAAGATTTAATTCATATTCAGTTGTTGAATCGAGAAAATGATATTTAATTTTTAAAATATAAAGAAACTCGCAGCAATACAAATTTGTGACAATATAGCTTTCTTTAAATTTTACATGTTCAATTAATAGTAAGAATGTAAGTCTAAATGTCATGTTATCATATAATTAATGAATTTGATCCAAAGTATTGCTAATATACTTTATCCAAGCTATTTTGCACATTTTTGGTTTTATAGGCCTTTGCTTTAATTTCATTTATTTAAAAGATTATATTAATGTCAATTTATTATTTTTATTTTATGCTTTCAACCTTATTCTTGTCTTATAAAAGAATCTGATCGTAAGTGAATCGTATTATAAATAGTTTTCTAAATCATTTATTTCTCTAAGGAAATAGTTAAGTATTTAGTTATTTGGTTTGTTTCAGTACAATTTCAGGTATAATATCAGTTATTCAATTATGTACCTTGCTAACCAATTATGCGGGATTTGAATTTGGAATTGTTAACGACTTCAATTGTTATATGTATCTTGGTATAATTTTTATTTTTTTTATTTATCTAACGCGCTTTTTTTTTGGTTTTTTTTGCAGAAAAAAGATTTATTTCGTATCAAACCTCGTTAACGTTAATAAATATTCATACATCCAAGAAGTGAATTCTACTAGGTAAATATATAAATTTTTTTTCATATTATATATAATGTTCAAACTTTATAAATACTAATTATAATAAATTAAAAAGTCTATCTGGAATAGTATTGAGAATCAAAAATGAACCAATAAAATAGATTTACCTAAATTACCCCGTATGCGATATATTATTTGGAGAATATGTATTAATAATATATCATTCCTTGAATTTTTTGGTTAGAGTGGATTTTAAACTATTTTGAGTATTTATATTGATTAAATTTTAAAATGTAAATGTTCAATTTATTATTAGAATGATTTACCATATAAGTATACGTTTAATGATTTATCAAAACTGATTGGATTAGGTTGGATTGAATGTACCCTTCCGTTTGTAATATACCATACAGAATGGTTACAACCTTCAATTGAAGTAGAAAGTGGAAATATTGATATGGTAAGATTTTATTTAATTATTTCTAAAATTTTATTTAAGATAAAAAATATGATTTTACCATTAAAAAAAAAAAAAGAAAATAGATTATGTTCAACTCGCATTAATTAAACGAGATCAAGTGTTTGTTACCAGTGTATATAATCTTTTGCAACATATAAATGACATCCAAATATTCCAGAAACATTTGAGGATAAGTATTTTCAAAAAAATGAACTTGATAATTTACTTCAATTAAATGATATTCTTGACTATTTGTAATTTCATATGTTCAATAGTATTCTTTGTATTGTCTTTTTATAAATTAAAATAAATAATATTTCTTTTTACTGATCGGATGTTTTACATGTATATAACATCATGGCAATGTACGTTCCATCAGATCTTAATATGTTTATTTATTTGCGGATTAATTAATTATTTAGGATTGCAAAGTCTAACTTTATTTCTAATGCATATGAAAGAAATTTCGAAAACCTCAGAAATTCTATTTATAGAAAATGTCTTTTTAGTCTGAAAAGCGAATTTAAAAATTAATTAATTCAATCAAATGGATATTTAAAATTTATGATTGCAAAGCAGTGAATTGGTGGTTTCAAAATATTGTAGAGAAATAAATATTAATTTTTATTATATATTTCAAGTCGAAATGACCAAGGACATTTCAAAATAGTAAATGACCTATAATATACTATCTTGCATTTTAAGTCTCAATGATAACATAATTTTTTCCTTAAGAGCGAACTATAGTTTACAAGACAAGAAAAATTACTTGTACTAATTTATTAAAGTATTACAATTTGTTCAAAAAACGATTAATTTTAAAAATGAAGTCACCTTCGATCTTGCGGAATAAATATCATGACGCGGAAGGTACTTCAACTTCTATTTGCTGATTTTGCTGGCAACCTACTAAAAATTCTAAACTTTGCGGGACTTTGGCTAAAATCAAAATCTTATATAAACATAAGGAACATGGTCGGTTAATTTATTCGGAATGCACTTAAAGAGTCCAAACAGGAAAATTTATATTAATTGAAAATAGCGAGACCAAGTTAAGACAGATTTTGAATCCGATGAAAAACGTCCTCCTATACAATAGGTGAAAAATTTTTTTTTACAAAACCATTCAAATAAAAGTTATGACGCAGTAAGTATTCAAATTTTTTCGCATCAATAATTAGATAATGCCTGCAATAATATTCCTTGCATTTTTCAAAACAATATTAATAATAATAATAAAATACAATTATCAAATACAACTACCAAATAATAAATTAAACTCAAGACTCTATAAAAATATATATATATATATATTTTCATTTAAATTTTTTTCGGTGAATAAATAGAAATAAATAGAAATCTTAGATCATAAAGTTGATCAATGGATCAATGATAACGATAGAAGTACAAATATTATAGTGTATATAACTATTCTACGCCAATATAAATAAAAATTAAGAAAAGAATAAAAATCATTAAATTGTTATATTATTGCAACATATTCTATATTTTTTATTATATAATCCCTACTAAATTTCATAATCCAATGATTTTGATTTATAAATTTCATCCTCCAATAATTTAATTTTTTTAATGTCTTTATCTATAAATAATCATAAAATTCAATAAAAGCTAAATTTCTAAAACCGCATAAAACAACAAAATTATACCGTACCGTTATTACTTTCAACCTGACAACTTCCAAAATTTCGCTTGCCTTTTTTTAAAAAAATGAAAGAAAAGGAACTTATTAATTAAATAACATTTAATTAATATATTGCAAAATAAATAAAAATAAATAATTACCATTAATCGAAGTATTGCTTTTCTGATTATTAACTAAGTATAATAATGTTAAAAAAAAAATGGTAACATTTATAAAACAAATAATTACCAAAATCTGAAGAAAAGGATTGACTTCGTAAACTTCTTGTAGATTCTACGGATTGCATTATGTTACTTAAAGATCTACTCTTATAAATAACGTCTGGCTTGTTTGTTATTATAGGTCCAATTTCTGAGGATTCTACGATTTCAGTTGGATTTCTCCTTTCAGCATTTTTAATGTCATTAATTTTATTCGAAATTCCCCAAGCTTTTGGCCTTTTACTTGGATCAGGTCCCAGCATTCTTTCATAAGTGTAATATATCCTTCAGGTGCTACTATATCACTAATTATCGTGCTCACCAGTATGATGTAGACGACCTTGTTTTTTAATATTTTTTGTAATATCACAAATAAACTACAAATTAAACTTTTTATATCGATAATAAACTATATAATAATATATATTAAGCTAGTAATAAAATACATAATAAT